ATATTAATACTTCATAAAGTAAAATTTTAATTTTTAAATATAAGGTGAAAACGCAAATTATTTTTTTTTTAAAAAAACTCAAATCTAACACCCTCCTTTTTATATAGAATCTCTTTCAGTCTGCAGAATCTCTTCCATCTCACCGACTCGCCCAACAAAACTTTCAAATTCCTTCAAGGCCTATGTTCCTCGGAGTGTTCTTACTCTTTGATTGACGCAAGATTGGAAAGATTTGATTTTTCCGAGGAAACAGAGGAGGAAAAGAAAAAGCAGGGGATTTATGTCGTCTCTGCCTGATTCTATTGAATTTGGAGCTCTGAACAAGCTCTGGTTATTCTTTCATTCTCAGTTCATTGCTTTCTCTCTCTGTTACACCTTGTGCACGCAATCCCAATTTCTACAGCAACCCAACAAGCCCGATTTCTTTTCTACTTCCAAGAAATTGAAATCAAACGGTACGTTGATGATTGTTCTTTAATTTCTTTTGAATTTTGTTGATTTTGATCTGTATTTGGGTTATGGGTTTTTTTTTTCTTGGTATTTGATCTGGGTTTTTAAAGGGGTTTTGTGAATTGATTGTGTTATGTTTGGATTCTTATGTCTCATGCAGGAATATGTATCGGATGGAGTTCCTCTGTGATTGGTTAACAAAAAAATATTTTCTTCCCATTTCTGGGTTTAAGGGGTTTTAATCGGTTTTGGGGTTTTCTCGATACTCAAGTCTGTCAAAGATTTGGTTTCCTCTTTCCGTTTTCATCTCCCTGTTACCTCCATTCAATTTGGAAAATTTGTTTCCCCTGTGAGAATCTGTTCTTCCTTACCCTATATAAACCCAGATATTGCTCAGAGATAGCATTCCATTCTTGAAAACATGATTTTCAAAAAAGAGGCAGAGCTGGAATTGAATCCAGCGAGAAAAGTCAGAATCATATACAGTGATCCTGATGCTACTGATGATTCTTCAAGCGAAGAAGAAGATGTTGATTGTTATGGCGAGTCTGCCGGTAACCAGACGAAGAAATCAGTTCGCTATGTCAAGGAGATCTCTCTTCAAAATTTACCGTATGAATGTGCAGAAAATTGTCCAGGCTTGAATGACACTGGAACCAAGCGTCGGCGTCTTTTTCCAAGGGGGGTTCGGAAAAGGAAGTGGGGGAAATACGCGGCGGAGATCAGGAATCCGCTTCAGAAGAATAGGGAGTGGCTTGGAACTTTCGATACAGAAGAGGAGGCTGCTCTGGCTTATAGGAGGAGGAAGATGGAGTTTGAGGAAATGATGGCGGTGGAGAAGAAGAAGACCGTAGCTGGTTCTGAGGATATCACCAATAGACTATTCTCTCACCCATCTCCTTCTTCAGTATTGGACAATTCTGCCTCGGCTCTGTTGGATGGTGCAGCCGAGTATCCCATCGAGGAGAATCCGGCCAAGCAGAGGACCATCAAAGTGTACAAGTGGCATAAAACTGTGAAGGAATACAAGATTGTAAAAGAGGTAGCATGTGAAGATTCTACTGAGGAGGAATCCGTGATTGGTTTATGGGAAAATCCGACCAGTTCACAGTATCTTTCCGACATATGGAAGGATGAAATCATCATACCGAAGGTGGAGTTCCAATTCCCAGAAATGGTGCAGCAGGGGAATGAGCTGGGGCAGTACTTTGGTTTTGTGAATCAAGAGAATGAATTTGGGCACGTGGATATGTATGGGGAGGAATTGAGACATTTAGAAGAGAATGGAAATTATGGGGGTTTTGATTTTGCTGCTGTGAGTGAATTGGATTTGGATACACAGGATGTTGCTTGGATTGATGATATTCTAAATTTGGACTGCTAGTAAGTTTTGGGGTTTGGGGATTACTAGCACTTTCTATATATGAATGAATAGAAAAAATAAAAATTCTGAAACTTCATCGAGGTAGAAGAGATTTATTGTTTAGGTGAGACGAGGGAGTTCTTGGGTTTTCTTTGATTGATAGAGGGAGATAATCCAAAATTTTGTAGACTCTCCTGGTGATTGTTTTGATATTAATAAAATGAGTTTTTTTTATCCTATATTATTAAGGTAA